CTACAGTAGTTGTCTCGTTAACTTACTATGTAGTAGTACAAACACTACAGTAGTTGTCTCGTTTTTTTAACCTTTTTTTTCCCTTTTCTTACGTGCAGTGGCCTAAGGGCCTCACTCCAGTAGTCACCACTTGCACAAAAGACAAAACATATGGCGGCATATGGTTCCATGTTCTAGCAGAAGATTCATTCCTCTTTCTTTTTTTCCCTTTTCTTACGTGCCGTGGCCCTAAGGGCCTCGCACCACTCGTCACCACTTGCACAAACGACAAAATTGCACAAAAGACAAAACATGTGGCGGCATGTGGTTCCAGTTTCTTCGAGAAGATTCATTCCAATTTTCCATATTTGGTGAGGAGCGGAGTGAAGCCATGAAAATCACATGCCGAGTTAGCAAGTACGTAACCCATAACTTCCAAAACACGGACTCGAATTCGAAGCTACACCATGCTGGCTTGTGGATGGGGTGTGAACCGACAGTCTGTAGTGGAGTTTTCCATCTGGTGTGGGTGAGTGACAATCTGATTTGATTGTCGTCACGGGTACCCTGAGGGCAGCGGTTGGTGGTCCCCACACACCTCAGAGGGGTATCAGTTGTCGGGCAGTCGTGGATGCTTAACCACAGCCGGGGTTAAGGTGAATTATCACTGGCAGTGTATTCCCCTAACTGATTCTGCAGACTGTTTATGAGGGTTCAGCTCGGCCTCCTGATGAGTCGGTGAAACTCCGACAAAACAGTTTGTCACAGCCCCCCCCCGCGTTTGTTGCCCTCTTCTCACTCTCTGCCTACGGTTCACCGGCGGGCAGCTTTGTTTGTCGATATATAGCTGGGCTGCTATTGCCTTCCTAAAAGCCAAACTACTACCCTCTGCTTGCCAAGGAGATCCTTGCTACATTCTGGCAGCGGCCTTTTCAAGTACCGGCAGGGTTTTTCTGACTAATGTGAAAGAGCTCTTTGCTCTCTCTCTATCTATCTATAGCAGGTATACTCACATCACAATCGCTTTTCTTTTTTTTTTTTTTTTTTTTTTTTTTTTTTT